AGCACAGACATTTAAATAATAATTATTAGTCTAATTTTACTTTAAATTTATTTCTCAATTTATTGCCTACTGAAATGGATAGCTCAGTACAGCCACAATTATTTGCAACTCAGCCAACACAGTTTTTTGCAGGTTAAGTATACTACGAGGCTGAGTATAGGTAGAAGAGACAGAAATTGGAAATAGGAAATACTAGGAATAGTAAATAACATTATTAGTTTATGGCATTGAATTCAAGTTATGCTGCTATAGTCATTTTTGTCAGTTTCCTGTTTCTTCACGAGCCTTGTCCAGTCCGAATCTTATCACATCTATCTATGATCTTATGCAAGCAGTGTACGTACAAGGGGAGAGCCGTGGTCCGGTCCGAATTCTATACAAGCCCCCGCTGAACTTCTGCGTCGTCCGTAATCTTGGTCCGTTGGTCCGGTCCGGTCCGAACTTTATATTCTACGTAGCATAACTACATCAATATGTATCAGAAAATGTAATAAAAATTGGGGGTGATTTCGGAGCCATTTTTTGGAAAAAACTATGGGCTATAGTCTTGCGTATTTTTTTACAAATTGACTTTTTTTTAAAATGGCCATAACTTAGAGAATGTAGTCAGAATCAAATGCATGCATGTACTTGTATAACACGTGGTTTAAATCAATATTTAATTATAATAAGGAAGAGGGTTTTTTAAACCCATCCAAAAATTGTTTTCCCAAATGTCTTAAAGAATTTGTGTCTTGATCTCTTCCCCACTACACTTTTATATACAGTTTTTTGTAAAAGGTCTAATGGGTTCACCAACTATCACTCATGTCCTTATGTAAACTGTTTATTATAGCCCATATAAGGGCATCAATATATGCATCAGATAAATAGGCTGATTTTAAATTCTTCTTTCTTAAATGTGTTAATTTATATGGATCTATCTATCTCTCATTAGCTTGGTAGAGAAGTCTTAGATATAGCAGCAAAAGCCACATGATCAGACCAGGTGTAACGACTGATGAAATTGATAGGATTGTCCATCAAGTAAGTATATACTTGTACATGTACTTCCTATGTGTAGATGAATGTATGTTTATACCGTATACTGGGATATTTTCACGAATTTTGCATTTGTAAGATTTCACGAAATAATATTTCGCGAATAACCTCTAAACTGCACCACGTGGCAATGGAAATTTAGAATTTATTTTCGCGACGAAGCAAAAAACGTGAAATTCGCGAAAATTTGGCTACTTGAAAATTTCCCAGTATACGGTATCTGTCTTATTGTAGGCTTGTATTGAAAGGAATTGCTATCCTTCTCCATTGAATTATTGCAACTTTCCTAAATCATGTTGCACGTATGTTTATCATGTACTATATTATCAAGTATTTTATTTTATTTTATATTATAATTATTAGTTCAGTGAATGAGGTCATTTGTCACGGTATTCCGGACAAACGAGAACTCGAAAACGGTGACATATGCAATGGTGAGCCTTTCGCATGCTCTTTAATTAGAATAACTCTTTCTTCCCTAGTCGACATTACTGTATATTATGGTGGGTTTCACGGAGACCTCAACGAGACAATGTTCGTTGGAAAACCGAGCGAGAGAGCCCAAAAGATTGTTACGGCAGCATACGAATGTATGATGAAGGGAATTGGCATTGGTAGGAGATCCTCTCTATCTTTTCTAGAACTACAGTATAGCAGGAAGTTTTGGAGGGGATTAAATTTGATGAATTTGGCATTTTAATAGCCATTCGCCAAAAATAAAATTCGCCATTTTGAGCCATTATACGCATGCTCAATGGCACGTGGCCACTAATTCGCCAAATTAAAATTTATCAATCACCAAAATTTAGCAATTTGCCAAATTTAACTCCCTCCAAAATTTCCCTTCATAATGGTATATACATGTATATTTATGTACGTGTACAGTACATGTACAGTACATGTCTTCATTTTCTTTTTCTCTTGTAGTTCGTCCTGGTACTAAGTATCGTGATGTTGGTGCCGAAATTCAGAGCCACGCCCATTCTAAAGGTTTCAGTGTCGTACGGAGCTACTGTGGCCATGAGATTAATCAGTGAGTGATTGGGTGGGTGGGGCTTGATAATTATTAATTGATTTTAGGCTGTTTCATACTGTTCCTAATGTACCACATTATGCAAGTTAGTTAATTAATTATTAATAATAGCTAATTAATTGTTAATTTAATATTATTAGAAAATAAGGCGGTAGGTGTAATGAAAGCTGGTCATACTTTCACAATAGAACCAATGATATCTGAAGGTATGAGTACATGTACATACATTGTGTACCCTATAGCTGCAATCTTTTGTGGCCCAAAATTTTTGTTAATTTCGCAATTTATTCAAAATTCACAAAAATTTGCAAAAATCAATTTAATACGGTTTGATATAGCTAAAATGCAGAAAATTGAGAAAATTTGAACCACGAAATTGATTTTTGTATGAATTCGTGAAGTTATTGGGCCATAAAAATGTCTCACTATACGGTATGTACATGTACATTTATAATCAAAGGACAATCATTATGACTGTTCTTTTAATCCCTTCTCTCTCTCTCCCTCCCCAGGAGTGTGGCATGACGTCACTTGGCCTGATAATTGGACTGCTGTCACATCAGTAAGCTCAATACACTAGCAGTGACATTATGTTAATCTTATGGTAATGATAGGACGGGAAACTCTCTGCCCAGTTTGAGCACACTCTCCTAGTAACTGAGAGTGGGTTTGAGATACTGACACTGAGGGAGGAAGGAGGAGGCAGACCTCATTACATGGACCAACTGAGAGCATTGGTTTGAGGAGAGGGAGAGTCAATTTAATGTCAAATATTTTATAAAAGTCTTAATTATTCAAATAAAGCTAGTATAAAAATTAATGAAAATAAATTTTAGCAAGCATGTACATGTATTTAGGGAAGCAAGGTAGAATAAGTCAGTTATACACCTTGATGTATAACCTATACGTGTACATAAACGTACACAAAAGGTAAAAGTAAAGGAAATGATGCATATCAAAAATTCAAACAATTAACTATTCAAATCTTCATCCTTTTCAATGCCTCTATTACTTGAGCCATAGTAGGACGAGCTCTAGGATCAGCATCAAGTCCTCTTTGTATGAGAGACTTCATATCAGACCAGGAGACTCTACCAGATTGTTGTGTTCTCTCTGATATCCTCATTTCTGGTTGACAATGTAAATTCATTTCCATAAGGAGAACAGAGTGACTGTAGACATCCATTGCTGGACTGTGTTGATCAGGAATAGGAGCTTCTGGTGCAGCATATGCAACATTGCCTGGCATAACAGTACCAGTACTGTTAGCTTGCACTACTTTAGCTGTACCATAATCTGCTACTTTAGCTTCATAACCAGCAGCTCCACTGCAAGGCTTTAATAATATGTTAGGACTGCTGACATCTCTGTGAATAATAGGCTGAGGTTTAAACAGGTGAAGGTAGTTGAGGCCTAAAGCTACATCTTGAGCAATACTCAGAATCTGTTGATTGCTTAATCGGTTTCTCTGCAGCTCATGATTAAGACTAGTGCTCATCAGCTCGGTCAAGATGAGAGGATTACCCACTTTAGTTGCACCAATAAACTGGACCAGCTTAGGATGACGTACTTGTGATGATATACTCATTTCCCTGGAGAAGAGAGCTAGATTGTAATTGGAGATGATGATAGTATGAAGTGACTTGACAGCTACTCTTAAACCTCTAAAGATACCAACTGTAACAACAGCATAAGATCCTCTTCCTAACTCCTCCTTTGTCAAAGTCACCTCATCTTTATTAATAACCCAGTGATCATCAGTAAGTGCTTGTTGCTGGTACCTACGAACTGCCTCTTGAGACTGACGTAGCTCCCTATCCTTTTCCTGTAGCTCCCTATCCTTTTTCTGTAGCTCCATATCCTTCTCCATTAGCTCCCTATCCTTCTCCTGTAGCTTTCTATCCATCGTTTCAAACAATTCTTGATATTCTTGGTTCTCTTGCTCTCTCTGGGCTTCTTTTTCTTGTAATTGGTGACTATAACTTTTTATTTCTTGGTCCTTTTCGGCTATTTCCCTGTATTTCTCATTCAGTTGGTCACGATATTGCTGCACTTCTTGATATTTCTCTACTTCTGCCTCCAGTTCTTGCTCTGTTTTTTTTAGTAGCTCATTCAATGTCACTATTTGTCGTTCCTTTTCTTTAATAAGATTCTGCAAATTTCTGGTGTCCCCTGCATCACCTATCAATAGTCCAGAAATTATATATATATATATATTGGTAAAATAATACAGAATGCACATACTGCATGCATATAGTTAGTGATTTACTTTGATAATAGCACAACAAAGTTTTATCATGAGATTTCATTTGCTTGTATACATGTATCAGAAGCATTGGGAAATGGCGATTGATTGATGAAACAGATAGTGAATGTTTCTGAAAAAAGAGAAGGTTGAGCTATTCATCTCTTAAATATAAGTATACCTTTGCTTTAATAGCTCTGAGAAGGTCTTTAACTAATATTGGATCATATTTTCCTGGAATACCTATAATATATAATAATAATAATTGAATATGTACAACTTCCGGCAATGAAACCTGCTGTATCAATCCGGTCCATCCAATTGGTTCCAATAACATCAGATGCACCATGTTCAATGGTATGGTCATCAGTGGATTCAATAATGTCACTAGCAGCCTCTAAAAATTTAAGCTGCTTCTCTTTAGACCAGAAATAACAGTGATCTAGCACTTTGCCTATAGGAATTCTGTATAAGATATAGTGACTTCTATTCATATTTTTATCATCATTCTTACCTCAAGTCTTTATTCTCATGCATCATTTGCATTATAAGGTCCTTAGCTGGCTCCTTATCTTCCACTTCATCACTTATACCATCAAGTGTAAATGAATGGGTACTATAGCTCTTAAGTGCAATGCCAATGTCAAGAGACTCGTCTCCAAGAGGGTGATGACCATCAGAGAGAACATAGTAGATAACGCAACCCATTGAAAATATATCAATAGCTTTACTAAATTTCTAAAAAAAGATAATTGATAAAAATCATCATAAACACATAATCATATTATTTACTGGCTTCTTATCCCCCAACAACTCAGGAGCTAGCCATACAAGTGTGCCTCTTACACGACTAATTGTTTTTAAATATTCATCAAAATCTATTTCAGTTGCTGTGCCAAAATCTGCAATAACAGCTTTAATTTCCTTCGTAAATGAATGCCTTTGGACAAGAAGAATGTTGCTTGGCTTAATATCTCTATGAACTAACATTTTTATAACAAAAGTATTATAATAATAATCATACCAATGTGTTTCTCATGCAAATGGTTCAATCCTCTTATTGCATCAGAAATAATATCTCTTTTGTTAACAATAAAACCTTGTAAAATTACTTCTCTTTGCTTCTTATCAATAATAAACTGCAATGTACATTGATACAAAATTGGCTTCAGAAATTAAATTCATGCACTGACTTTTTCTAAGCTGGTCAGACAAAGTTGAAAGGCAAGATAATGATATTCTATATCACTTTCCTAATAAAGACAAACACAATAATGAATTATGTCAGTTACATTTATCTTACAAAATGATAGTATTCCACTATATTTTGATTCCTGCATTTCATCAGCAATTTTATTTCTGTGATGTCCTCTATCACATCCTTTTTTCCAACTTTTTTGACAGCAATATCTTGTCCCTTAAATTGGCCCCTGTATAACAATGAAAGATGAAGATTAATTATAGTAACAGAGCTTAATAAACACAAGATTACTTATAAACAGCATTTTCCTTTGCACCAACTCCTAGTTTCTCAGAACGAAAATAAGTAATATCACCTAATAAATAAGTAAACATACAAACTATATATACCCACTATCTAAATAATAATTATCCACTCTTGCCATTATATAATCACAACTCACAAAACAAGTGACAAAGAACATAATTAATAGTTTACTTTAGACCAATACAACTACTTCTTACATATCTTGCATGGCTGCCCTTATGGACAGCAGGGAGAAAATCTGGCAAGACTGGTATAGTTTTGGCAGGCCAGAACTTTGGTGATAATGTTGACCTTTTACTATAAAGGCGGATTTACATTATAATGCTAGGCCAATGTAACGTCAATTTTTAATCAAAAGCATAGGCAATTTGGCCTTTTCACACATGCTTCACACTGGAGTTGAACCAGATTCAACTCCTGCATCAACGTAACGTCAGGACTAGCGTACCGCCTTAATTCCTATCTACTTATTCTTACTCACTAATAGTTTTGATAGATTCAGTGACTACGCAGATAAGATAAACGGACTACTGATAAACAGAACACCTGTGCAAACTGTATAATAGGTTATAAATTTCTAACTTATCCTGTCTAAATTACCAGTATACCACACAATGAATGTATTGTCATGTACCTATTGTGATTGCATGTCTTTCATTTGCAGTTTCTGGAATTATGAAAGGTTTGTTCTTCTTTTGCCCTTCAATATCTGAGTACAAAAAGTAGCATAAATACATGCAAACTTGTAATATGGGAAACCAGTGTAGAGGTGTAGTTTCACATTTTTACTTAATTATAAATTTTTGCAAAATTAATGCCTAATTAGCCTATTAATATCTTATCTTCACAGCAAAACTTTTTGCTAATCTACCATTATTTGGCTCCATTTCAAAATCGAAGTAAGTATTTGTGAAATTATAGCATTTCACAAAAAGTTGCAAATACTTATTTTCGATGTTGGATTAATTGGAGACCCACCCTCAACTGATATAGTTACACATGCAGTTAATGCTGGTTTACAATATAATGTTAGCCCAGCGTACCATCAATTTTTAATCAAAAGCATGGGCAATTTGACCTTTGATGCACACTTTCTGCTAGAATAGAACCAGATTCTATTCCAGCGTCAAAGCATGGTAACGTAACATCAGGAGTCACGACTAGCGTAATATTGTAAACCAGCCTTTATACAACATTATACTGAAGTGATTGCATTAAGTCTAATACCAATTGGTTTTTCAAGAGGTGTGGTTGATAGAGGATGCTCACAAGCTATTTTATTAGCTAATGCCGAGTCACGTCCTCCATCTTTAACAGCAACACACACCATCCTCCAGCAAGGAACGCCATTAGTCTCGTAGTCATAGTCTTTCCTTAACCAATGCTCTAATACTTCATATAGGGACGAAATAGCATGATTTCCACAAGAGCTAGCTATGGTATTTATAGTATCTATTTCTAGATACAACGAAACAGCAATGTGTTTCCAATGAGCAGAGAGTGGTTTAACCGACTTATAAACAGGATGGAAATCCTTAATACCTATTAAAATGAATGAAGCATCCTTAAACGGAACAAATTTTACCTAGTTCTTCTTCAGAAACATTCATAAAGGACATGCTGCAAATCCGAGTGCAAATCACTAGCACTTCACCTTTGTGGGGCGTGACACGCTGCAAATTTGAAATTCAAAATTAAAATTAAAAAAATAATAATCATTTAGTAAAAAAAGGTTTGGATTGTATGTAATTGTCCAGTTCCTTCACAAACAGTTGAGAATCAATGGTCGTCCCCAACTTATAATGAGGATTCTTAATCACGTACTCAACATATATCTTAGTATAAATGTGCTGCAGCATCTCCTGCAGGTCCCCTGCCTTGTGGTCAGTATTAAGAATAAACTTAGTACCCGTCGGGGTCTCGTAAATATGGAGCTTGTACTTATCAGTGGAATAACCAATGAAACCATCTCTAGTACTGACGGGGGAAAGGCGGGAGAGGAGGGATTTTAAGGAATAGACCATGCCGTAGAGTAGCTTCCTTTCCTCTTCTGGTGATATCCCGCACTCCTTCACTTTAGCCCACTGCCTGTAGAAGAGGCAGGAGCAGTTTCTATCAAAAATGTACAAGTTGTAGGCGACCATTTTAAAATAGGCGTGGCCAAAACTGGCCACGCCTGTTTCAATATTTAACCCTTGTAAGTTTCTCCTTAATTTTTCTTTCTCTCCCCACGAGGTTTACTTTCAAGGTAAGGATCATTCTCCATCTTTCCTTTTGCAAGCTTTAAGATAATATAGAACCATTACTATCTTTATATTTTAGATGACCAATAGGCTGACGTACCGCAGGAGACTCTCCTACAACACAAAATCAAACAGGAGGAGAGTGTAAGACAGAACATTAAATTAAAATTAATGAAACTAAAAATGCATTACTTTACAGTTCAAAGACCCCAGGTGGTAGGCTAGTCTACCTCTATCCAGGCAAGAGAGGTAATCCAGCAAAATGTGGTGACTGTAAAGAAAAATTAAGAGGGGTACGTTAAGCGATGTGGTTCCTCCTCTTTTTTTTATAATTGTGTTACAGGTACCTGCTGTACGGCCTAAGAAACTAATGTCCATGTCAAGGCCTAAGAAGACGGTTAATCGTACTTATGGCGGATCCAGGTGTCACAGATGTGTTAGGGAAAGGTGAGTTTGAACATGCTTGGTTATATTTGGGCAGGGTGGGTAGATTTATAAAAATAGTATCAAATTTGTGACACGTACTATTCCTGCCTGTTTTCTTCTTTACTAAAATGGTTACATGAATATGATTAAGTTTGTGCTGCTTTTCAAATTTTTTTGGATCTTTTTGTCTTCTTTTACACTCTTTTTTTCCCTCTCTCGTTCATAAAGGATTGTTAGGGCATTTCTCATAGAAGAGCAGAAGATTGTTGCAAGAGCTGTCAAAATGCAGCAGCAAGCAAAAAAGAAGAAATAGACACGGACACTGTAATTTTATAAATGTGATTGAAAACCAATAAATTATGAAAATCACTATTTGAAAGAGTATCAAGTCCATTTAATACCATAATTATAGCGAAGGATCATTCTCTCTCGTTGGCAATCTGCAAATTGTTTAATTCGTGTAGTTTCTATTAAAAATTAATTATATTCAGCACACATAAATACATTATAAATTTGTAAATCTCAATTCATATCATGAAGGTTCCGGAACGTGGAAAGTTTTTCGTATCTTTGCCGGGTCTTTCCCTTTAATTAGATCAGCCACACGAGCACAGAGCAAGTCCATCAGTCTCTTAACGTCTAAGTAATTGGCGGCCTGAAATGATATAAAAAAACAACAAGACAGTGAGAACAGAATTTCATTCATATTGACATCATATTCAATCATAGGGCTCTATAAGCCCATCCAAAAATTGTGCATACTAATAAAAATGCCATATGTGTATAATTGTCAGTTCAATGGCATTTTAGTTAAATAGCTAGAACTCTTACTCATATCATTGTGGGTTGCTCTACATTCATTTCCTGTACCACACCCACTTCGTATAGAGCTAGCTCTGCACTATCATGCATGAGTATTGGCAAGAGTAGATAAAAGAAGAGAGTGTCCTACTGTGATATACCCCCTG